TATGTTAAAATTCCTAAACAAATTGGTTTGCAGTGGATTTAAAGAAAATTGATATATTTTTTTTTTTTTAAACAACAACTCTTATCTCAACATTATATCGGTACTTTCAAATATAAAAGAAAACACTTGAGCACTCAGCATATATTCCTTTTATTAGAATTTATTAGAGGTTTACTCAAATAGTTCCTCAAGCCAGTAGCATCATATATAATACAAAAATAACATTTCCCCGTCAAACGCAATCCTGCACTAATTATTAAGAGGTTTAATAAAAATTTCTGGATATCACAGTGAAGAATGAATTTTTTTTTTTTTTTTTTTTTTTTTTTTTTCAAGTAACAACTTGAAAATATGAAAGCGCTTGCAAATATAAAAGAAAACGCGCACTTAAGTACTTAGAACGTGCATTTCAATATTTAGAATTGAAGATTTACTTAAATAGTTCTTTAAATTAATAGCATCATATGTAAAACATAAAGTCTATTTCACCATTTAGTGCAAGTCTGCTTTATTATTCAATGAGTTAATAATAAAGTTTTTCGGAATTCATTATCAGAGTGAAGAAAGTTAGTCAAACGAGCATATTGCTCTCATCTAATGCTAAAAATGTTTTAATGACTAAAACCATGGAACATGTTTCTTCCAGGAGTTTGATTCCCAGTCACAGAAGCCAGCTGTTTAAGTATTTTCACAGTTTTCCCTATGTGTAATGCAAAAATGAGGAAGTTTTCGTTAGAAGCCCTGGCCGAGCGGTAAATTCGCTAAACAATGGTAGTTCGGTCTGGGGCTCGAATCCCGGCGAACGGGCTGGCTGCATGGTCGTTTTCGTAGTTTTCCCCATGTGTTACGTGTATAAGAGCCAGTTTCCTTGGAAAGTCATTCCTCGCGTTAGGCAGATAGCCCTCGAGTGCTTTGCCATAATCAAATATACCAAACCGTTTCCGTTAGAAATTCTTAAGAAGGAACGCATGTCTTCCTTAGCTAGTGCTTAAATTGTGCCGGTACTTTTCAATTTTTAAGATAAATTACAATTCTATCCGGAGCGCACCGGAGCCCTAAATAAGATGAGCTCTGGTACTTCTTTTTATAAAACTGAACTACAATTTAAAGGGGAAAAATTTAGAATTCCTAACGTTTTAGTTTAACAATAAGCAGACTTTTCAATACTCTGTTTCCCTAGAAATACGAACTCATGAGAACATAAGACGTTCAAGTAAAGTTCCTTCACTCACATGCGGAAACCTTTCCCTTTCAAAAGGGCAATAAATTTGGGAGAGTTTGTTTAGGAATTCGTAAATTTCTCGCCATGCCAGCGTATCTAGTGTTTTGTTATCGTTGCTTACAGTTAGTTACCTCTCAGGAAGGAAAATTTGGGTTCTTAAATGTGCGTTAAATGGCAGCGAGTACAATAAGAGTGAAATACTGAGATAAACTAAACACGTCCTATACATCGTCTTTCAACAGTATCCACTAATGGGGGGGGAAGCTTAAACAGCAACTTTACATTCATTCTTAGGAGTCAGATTCAGAACTCATTTTACCCCTGACAGACATATGCTTGATGGCTTTAATTATATCAGCAGAGAGCCGCGGTCAAAGAGAACGTTCTCTCTCACCATGATTCATCTGATTTTTTGTTTCCACCCACTCATACCCTCATTCTGTTTTGCTCTGGAAATTTCATCAGCTATAATTTAAGTATATTTAATTTTTCTGATGATAAAAGAACTGCAATTTAAGCTTTTGTAATAAATCATAATTCTAGCCGGAACGCACCGGAGCCCTGAATAAGAAGGCTGCGGCACTTCTTTTATGTAATTGAATAACAATTTCAGTAGAAATTTTATCTCGAAAATTTTATTTTAACAATAAAATTATATTAAAAATCGTTTATTAAATTTCAATTTATCTCTTTACATTTTATTTAATTTTAATTATTTAATTACTTCAATCTTTAATTATTTCAATAAATAATAATTAATTATATAATAATTATTAATTAAATAACAATTTATAAACATTAATTAAATAGCTATTAATTAATTTGATAATAATTAACTATTTAATTAAAAAATTATTAATGCGTTTAATAGTTATTTTATTTATTTATTTACTCTTGTTCCTCTTTGCTGACGGTCTTCCATAGGGCTCCGACACTTCTAATCTTAGAATTTAAACCCTGTCCTTAGCAGATATTATTTGAATATTTTGCTAATTGATCAACAAAGCATGCAATTCATTAGCAAATGACTTTGCTATGTTTCTAAGCTCCCTACACAAATTGTATTACCTACGTCGCTCTACCTATTTTCAGAGAAGCATAAAGTTAGCTGAAAAGAACATTTAATTATATTGAAAGAAATATTAAAAAGCTTCGAAGAAACGGTGAAAATTTATTCACTTTGGGATTTTTTTAATAGCTTCTTTCGCATTAATGATACATAAGCAACAATTTTGCAATAGCTCTTAAACTTTTAAATTTTAAAGAATGAATGTCTAACTTAAATTAACTATCCAAACCATGGAAAGTGTTCTGTGAATTGGCTTATTTAATTAAGGCAAATAATGTTATAGGTATCTGCCTGTGAGGAGGGATGCTTTAGTAGAGGGTATTCTAAGGAAAACTGAAATTTTTTTTCAGGGAGGGGGAATATCGTGCACGTGAAAATAATAACAAAAAAAAAAAAAAAAAAGGAGGGGGGGAAACCTAGCAGATTTCAAGGTACTAGATAATAACGTTGAATATACTGTACATCAGGTGTGAGCAAAAGCCGGCCCGCGGGTCGATATGCGGCCCTTTTAATTGCTTAATCGTCGCGTTATGAAATCCTACGTAACGAAATTGTCATCTCTTTCGCACTCGATTTTGTACGCAAATTAGCGAAATCAGTAACACGATTGCGCATCGCATTATTACTGTGTATAAGCGCTTATATACGCATGACTATACCAAATGTCAGTGTAATCTGAGAACAGCAGATATGCTTAGAAAGCCTATGCATCCGAAGAATATTCTTCTATCATTTCCGGCAGCTTTAATTTAACAATTACACAATAAAGTATGAATATTGCTGAGATGAATAGACTGATCAGAAAAGGGAGCCTAGGAGAAGAACATTTCGTTCAGCCATTTGATAATTAATAATTTCGTCTCCGTTTTTGGCGTATTTGATGAAACTGCTAATTTTCAGTAGCTAAACCATAATCCCTGTCTTTCTAAGAAAAGCAATACATAATTATTTTAAATTAACATATACATTCTATATTTTATTGGTTGATTTACATGTAAGGCCCTCGAGACCCCGTGTTCACCCTCTGGAGCTTATTAAGTGCGTAAAATGCTTTTAAATTGTAATTTTTTTTCTTAAATTTCTTCCGGGCAGGGCTATTCTTCTTCCACATCCCGTCATGGCAAACAATAAGGAAACCGCAAAAGATCGTCGCCTCTCGCGGCAGCTCTGTCCGCATGATGCACTGGCTCGAGGTTAAAACTATATGGCCATACCTGCTGTACATACATAACTAATGTCTGATTATGTGAATTACGCTTGGCACGTATGCCATACGCTTATGCAGATAAGGTTGTGTTTGCTTCCATCATTCGAAGCGAAACTTATTTCACATATTTCATTCGTAAGGCTTGCAAACTGAATGATAAATGTTCCTTATGATTCTGCCCCCCTTATGATTTCACTTGCTTAGTAAGGCTCTATTTACTGCATTCAATTTTACTATATTTTTTTAGAATAAACGAATTTTGCCGTACAAACATTTTCAAGTAAATTCCCGCCTTTCACATTTTCTCACTTCTTCTAAATTAATGATTTCTTATGTATAAATTCTGGTGTGAGTCAGCTTACCAGTTATAGCTACGGAATGTTCTGAATAAGCCAACTTGGTACTTACGTGCTATCGCAACCAACTTAGTAGAAGACGCCAAATTTTCAGAATGTGCCAAGCTCTGGCAACCATTCGCATAACCATTCATTGGGCAACAATCCTTCAATCAAGCTGTGTTGCCATTTTCGTATGCATTCTTTTTGTTGTATTCCAAGTTAGAACCGTTTTTATAAACAAGTCGTGATATTTTTTGCCTCAAACTTAATTTTAGAATATGACTAGTGAAATTTATCAGCAATGGAAGAAACAGCAATGAAATCTCTGCAGAAGTACAGAACTTTGCCATACAATTTTTAAAGGGAATGTCGAGGAGACGCGTTCGGTAAATAGTCATTAATATCGAGGTTTGAGCTGCAATTCTTCGATTTCTTTAAACGAAAACAGATCACTGTGTATTTGAGCAGAAGAATAGCGAAAAACAAAATTATAGAAAGATTTAGAGAAGAATGTAATGTTTTATTTTTTAATGTATCACGAAATTTTTTTTAATAATTAAATTGCTAAAGTATATTTTCTTTTTTCATATGTTGATAATGTCTGCTGACTATCGATAGTTCAGATAAATATCGATAGTTTCGGAATCTTTAAAAAAAGTCGTATAAACCATCAGCTTGCAACCGATAAGTAGCTTTTACCTTTTCATCTGTAAAAAATCACAATATCGCGTCAAGGTGGTTGCGTTAATACCATAAGTACCGCCAACTTTAACAATAATCACCATGTACTTAAAATTCAATTACAATTATGTATCGTATTCAATACTATTCTTTTTACTTCCATAGTATATTTGCTGACCATCCACAAATTTCAGATTAATAATATAAAGCAAACATTTGCGGCTCGTGGAATTAAAAAACAGATCCAGGGTAATATGGGAGTAAATACGTCTTTTTTAATGTGTCGGGGATTTGAAAGTTTCTTTTTTTCACTTTTTGTGCCCCTAAAATATTTAATAAAGGTTTTGTATAAGTTAGGTTTAAATGCTACCAGAAAAGTTTCGTTAATTACTGTTTTGTTATAGATTTCAATGTGCTGCTCATATTGCTGCAACCATTACTTTCTTTCAGCCCCCCTTTTTTTAAATAAATAATTAGACTTACCAAATACAGCTCCTCTTATGGCTTTCCTTTGTAAAGGCTGATCCGCTTTAAACCTGTATTTGCAACCAAAAATGCTCAGTTTGCTGTAATGATCTCCGAAGAACTTCAAGTATCGAAATCGCTCTCCACATTTGTAGCAGAAATCTGTTTTGCAGCGTGTGCAATGCATGTGGTCACATCCCGTAGTACGCTGTATGTAGACCTGTAATTAACAACATTAGCAATTAAGTACATGAAAATTTGAAAAAAATTCACTTAAAGATTATTAGTTTGTATCGGTTATTGGATTAAGTGAAGCATGCAAAGGCCACAGAAATACATGACGATAACTAAAACTGTTGATCTAATGTTATACGTTTCTTTAGCATAGTCATTTTGGTAGCTGTGTTAATAATTATAACCCTTGCTGATGCACTAATTCTAGAAAACGTTGCAGCCTTTTTTGTTTGCTGTTAAAAGCAGCGGTAATTCGACACCTATTTGATAAACCATTTAGTGCGCTCTAAGAAAATCAAACTCTATGAGTTAACTGTGTTGCTATTTCTAATCTTCTGGTTCAGAGATTTTTTATCAGCCCGTGCAATTCATCATGGCCAAAAGGTAGTGCTCGCCTGACATTGGGGGCCTTGGGCACTTTAGAGATACGATTTTTGTTTATCTCCGTCCTAGTTTTGAAAGACAGCCCCCTCAGAGGACAGATTCGAGGATGTCCTGCCGCTCTCCCCCTTTTACCAACTTCTCAAGAAGAGTTAGGACTCAACAGCATTTTAAGTGCATCCATATTGCAAAGATATTATATACTTATAAATGTCCATACCTTATTCCAGATTTGAAACCATCCCAAGGCTATGGCAGTCGCTTCCTATACCACTATGCCAGCAGGGCGGCGGTTTTAATCATGATGGCAAAAATATGTTTCTAACCCCCTCGCGTGTTTTTGAAAAAATTAGTTCTCGCATTTAAAACACCGATAACTCTCTAACTGTCTGAGTATTTAAAAAAAAACTGGTAAGTTTTTTTAAATGGATTTTTAAAGCAAGTTTCTATGAATCACCAAAGTTTTTAAGTTACTGAAAATATCGGTAACAAAAACCAGAATGTGACATCATTCATTGCTCGCAGTGGCTTATGGGTTAAGGGATTAAAGACGATGTGCATCTGAACCGGTCTTGAAGGCGAAACTGCTTCATATCCCCGTTTCTCGCTAATATGAACGGTCGGCTGAGCGAAAAAGCGTTGCATGTGAGCGGGGCTTTAGAGTCTTATTCAAAATCTTGGCCAAACTAAGATCACACTTTTGCTTAATTTTCAACTTCACCATAAGTAAGATAAGTGCATTCCTCTTTCCGCGAGACTGAACAGCACTACGAGCTCCTTAGCTCCTTAGAACTAGGTACAGAGGTTAAACCTCCGCCCTCGCACTTTGAAGAGAAGGACGCATCGCTTAAAGCGACATTGGTCCTCAATTTGCTAACTGCCAGTCGCTCGGGCTGCCAGTCGCAGTGGGGCATTACCCAGCGAACCCGAGGGCGCTACCCTCTCCGGCTGCTAGAGCCACACCGCTCTAGGACACGCCAGGCCATTGGGCCGGTCAATGAGTGACTTTTCCGGAGCCTCCAGAACCACTGGTTCATAAATTTTATTTCCCCGTGGTCGAGACTGCCTAGGTACAGATCCTAGCTAGTATCTTCTCAGAGTTCTCTACGTCGACCCCGGGGGTGGGGGAGCTTCACCATTAAAGGTACCTATATACTCTTTGCAAGTTGGATTTTCGTTTGCATCATTAATTAAAGCAGCAAACTAAGACTGTTTACATAAAGGTGGCACCTTTATGGAAATGCCTTTTCTAAATTTAAATAATAGATGGTCTTCATAAAGGGGTGACCAGTTTCAACCCCAGACATACTTGTGAAAAAGTCGGATTTGGTAAACGTTGGTCGACCTGTACAAGGGGTTGTGCTCCAGATGAACAATCACACATTATGAAGGCATCCCAATTGCTGCTGAAGACTTTTTTCCCCCCAAGTCAAATGCATTATGTCTGAGCTTTGTTTCCTCAAAGATAATTCGTATTCAGGGCAATATAAGCGAACGGGTTTAATTTGTGAAAAGAATGTTAGTTGTTCAAGCCGGGCTTCCTGATTACAGATACTTGTACGATTTATTTTCATTAAAAGCTGCACTTTAAAGAAAATGTAAACGGATTCTTCTTACCTTGCAGTTTGGACATTTCTGAGCATTCAGTTGTCCATGATTCCTTTCGCGAGCCCATGATCTCAACAAACGATCGCCTTTTCTAAACTGCTTGCAAGACAACGATCCATGCCATGGAGCATGGCAGTTGAAACACCACTCCAAATGGCAAGAAGGACATGTAATGCTAGAATAAAAGGAGAGAAAGTATCAAGGAACAGAACTTTTTCAATAAGCAATGGTTTTTAATTAACAGACTTCCATCAATGCAAAAAAATAATGTAAATTAGTTGCAAGAAAACAAAAATTATACAAACCCCCTTAGGTGCTTATTGGTTACTGCTCAAAAACTGTATTGTCTTTTATTACCTTTCGATTTATGGGTACGTGAACGCATAAAATACTGCTGTGTATACCACTTCAATATTCATCGACTATATTTGAAGAAGACATATTATTAAACCAGCGGATTTTATCCCTTAATGTACCAATAAAAATTCAGAAAGTGGTCCTTTTTCCACCAGTTTTTTGTTCTCTATTTTAACTCAACCTCCTTTAATCCTTTCTGCATTTTAACACAGATCTGTAAGGGATATGTTCTGCAGTATTCATATCTGAGAAGAAAAAAAAAAAACACCTTGAACGCATTTACTCGGGTGAGCGGAAATAATTTAGTTCAGTATATCCGAGTTAACTCGGTTGAGTGCATTAAGAGGTTAAAGTACGTGTAATTCAGCTTACATTTGCTATGATTAAGAAGAGGTAACGTGGATGCGAACCAGTTTCCCCTAGAAAGTTCTTCACGACAGCATCCCTCCCTTTCGACAGAGCTCTCAACTTTTCAACAATCAAATAAATAAAAATAAAAAAAAAAATATTAGGAAGAGGACAATTGTCTCGATTCTCTTACCATCGAGGGAATGTGACCCCAGTCTCTTTTCTGCACGTTTTATAAATCGTTTCAAATTCTATAAATAAGATTTACCTTGTAATATTAGATCTTAGAAGCTAATGTCTCATCTTGAATCTTTAACCTATTTTATGCCAATAGAAATATGGCTTCCTTTTTTTCCTATGTTCGTTAGAAGAAGCAAAGGAATGTGTGCATTTTCTATTTCCTTTATTAGCGCTTGATCAAGCGAGCATAACACAACAAAGTCTACGGAGCCGAAGCACGCAGTCTTTCAATTAAGTGCATGGAATTTTGTAAAAAAGGAATGCTATAAATAATTTATGAATAAAAAGCAAGGGGCAATTATAGTAATTATGACTAGTGAAATGATAAAATGGTATAACAAATAATACTAAAATGGAAATGACAAATAATACTAGACAGACTGCAAAGTGTTTCAAAAAGGAGGAAGAGAATTTCTTGTTAGTAAAAATATTATTTCTTATAACGCAAAAACGTGTCATACGTAACCTTCTGACAATTTAGTTTTAGTTTAAACTAAGAAGTTATTTTTATTTTATTTATTTATTTGCATTTTTACCGCCTTTTCATACTTTAGTCACGCAATTCGTTCTTTCCATAAAATTGTGTAGATTTTAAGTGGCAAGTCTCTGTTTATAAAACAGACTTAGATTAATTATAAAACAGGCACAGTATGTGAACGAAACACAAGAGCAGAGCTCAGAAATTGAATTAGCTGGTTTGGCGAATGGCTGATTGTAAGCCTTGGTTGCGTTGATGATTTCCAGTGGAATAGCTGACAAAATGATGAACAATAATTGAAATTTCAATGCTTGATTATCTGCCAGAAAATTATGGATCTTAGTACTTTAAACTGACATATGAATTTACACAGCTTAAACTTTAATCTACAAGTCAAGCTGACTACACTACATAAAATTACACAAAGCAAGAACCTTGTATTTGGTGTAGATTTTAGTCAAGACTATCTATTTTGATGGCAAACATGTTGTACAGATTGTACGGATTTTCCAGGAGCTCAGTTTTCGAGTCATTTTCTTGCCTATCAATAAAATCCGCGATTCAGTTCTTAAAAATTCCATTTCTGACTTTAATTCTTAGGGAATTTGTAGCATATCTTGTCAGTGTGATTTGAGATATGTCGGTTAAAGTAAAAGAGCGTTAAATTTTCTCAGCAAGGAACACGAATCTCATGTCTGGAAAGTCAAAATGAATTTGTCTTCGATAGCTATTCTCAGTTCGAAATTTAATCACAATTTTGACTTTGGAACTGCAAAAATTATCCAAAAAGGTTCTTCAGCTAGATTTCCTTGAAACGTTTCTCATTCACAAAGATTTATCTTGTTTAATTTATGACTTTTATTCCAAGCCAGTCCTTCCTAGTGCTTTTAAACTTCTATTCACTTATTTGTTCAATTTTCGCTACCATTTCTGCCGACAGATGGCGCTACATTCCCGTTTACTTTACTGCTTTTGGCAGTAAAGTAAACGCTGAAATACCTGCGGCTATTCCTTCGTTGCAGATTTCTTTGCTCCTGATGAAGAGGGATTTGTTCTGTTTGCTCTCAAAATCGATAGCGTCTTAACTAAAACCTACGCCAAACATAAGACTGTTGCTTTGCTTAATTTTATGTCTTACTTTAGCGTGTTTTTCTTCTTTCTTGATTACAGTATTTTTTGAGACCTTATGTGTAAGTCCATTAAAGCTAATCTGATTTTATTCATCGTTTCTGTGTTGAATGAATTGCACTCAACTCCCTTCCCGAAAACTCCTGAAAAGGGACATTTTTATACCGTTAAGGCTTACACATAGTTGTTTTGTGATACACGAGAACTTCAAGTCTAATACAGGAACCTAAAAAGAAAAGGATTCTGTTGCAAGTTCAGCTACGCATTTAGTGTATGCCATGGATGTAAAGTGGTCAGAAACGCTGGATCAGTCGAATTCTGCCGGATGACAGTATGTCGCGCTGTTGGTCTCCTAGTGATATTCTGTGTTCTAGTAAACTGGCGGCTAAATACCATTCATCCTGGACATCAAATAGCAGATTTTGAATATCAAATTGCAGCAATAGTATCAACTGTTATAAAATTAGAATGCTTCTGGGGTGGAACTGATTTTCCTTTCGATGTGTATCAGCTGTGCAATGTGCATGCATAGGATGTTCGATATAGCAGCTTTTATCCTTTTCCTGCCAAGTGATGTATATCTCGAAATCGTATTGTAAGAAATAAACATGTTGCACGTAAATAAATTCTGACAACTTCTCCCTTCTGACGTCCTATATTTTAGAAATGTACTTCAAATATTAGAACCAAAATCTTCTTTTTATTGTTTATATTCATCATATAGTGGTTGAAAGGTCCTCAAAATAGCAAGTAAAATGCTCAAATTGTAAGACAGTAAGCCTCAGTTTGTCCCATTTAATATATATATTTTTTCTTTTTTTCTTTAAATGTACTGGTTACTCTAAGCACTTACACTACTAAAGCTAACTATCAGTATCTTTCGATCGAAGAATTTTCTAAACATGCTTAATTATTTCTGAATGATTTTTAATCTTGGAAAAGGGTCTATTTTATTACCGTATTTTTCCCCTTAGCGCTAGGTTCAGAAAATTTAAAAAATATTCGCATTAATTTTTATTCTGTGTATTTAATTTGTATTTTCATTTTGTTGTTAAGATTTCTTCCATTTTAATTTCCCTCGCATTTATTAGTTGAAATGTATTTCGTGCCGATTCTTCGTTAAGCTACCCAGACGTGGCAAGGTTTCTTACATTTAAAAAACTCACGTTCAAGCTCAGCGTAGCCTTATCTACAGCTGATATATTCGAACTTTCAAAATCTGGGTCTTTTCTTCGAACCTTCTCCTTCCTTCCTCTGATGTCTCTCTTGGAAACTTCGGTCAAGGATTATTCATGTGAGGTTCCCCTGGGGTTGACAAGATAATTGCACCGGACACGACGTGCTCTGCTCGACGTCTGACTCAATGATCGCCAGATATTGTGATGTTAATAATACTATGTATTCTTTCTGGAATGTAGGTTCTTTAAAGAAATAATTATTGTGGTAATGCCAGTAGTTTATCCATTGACTACTTTTCATGTGCTATATTTTTACAGTAACCACGTTTCTTGAAATTAAATTACTCGCATAATTTTTTTCTCTTGATTTTCTGACGATAAAATTAGTTAAAAAAAGGTTGAAAATACGCAAGGAAATACAATATAACTGCAGTTAACTAGTGTTCCCCTTACTTCAAAGTTTATGATCTCAATTTCTTTTCTTTAATAAGCAGGTAATAATTTTAAAAGACTGTGGTATATTACATATTAACATATTTTTCATGTTCCGCAAATCAGTTAAATTTCAAGAATTCTTGGGTCTTACAATTTGTGCAATTTACCTACTTTCAGTGCATTTAACAAGGATAATATTATTATTCTAATTTCGATTATACGTATCTTGATGAGAGAATGGAGTATGTACACTTTCTAGTATTCAGAAGATTCTTAAAATGAGTTCGAGTTCTAACTTACGATGTGATGTTACTTATTCATAAAATTCAGACAAGAGGTTGAATGTATATTTTATGCTTGGTAATTTGTTCAGAATGTTGTAAAAATTTAGCACAATCGTATTTTTCAAATTAATGCATACTTGGTCGATTGTACAGTATTATTTCATTATGTTTGGTAATGCACGGTTTCCATTGCTTTCGAAATTTGTTTTGATAGATGTACCAGTGATTTCTTTTTCTCATCATGATTTTAATATGCCCGCGTATTATGATTACAATTTCTTTTATTTAAAACAATTTTTGGAAAACAAATAATTAAGCATTTAAAATTGAAATTTAACCTTTTTGTTCCCATACTTTCAGTTTATGTTGCGCAGATTGTAATTTAGATATAAATTTTCTAAATACTTCAACAACATTAGATGTTAGCGATAGGCAGTTACAGACTTTATTTCCTTAAAAGTTAATTCTTAAAATTTTACAATTCCTCAGTATCTCAATGTAAAGTGAAAAAAAATATGAAAGCAGGAGCATTAGAGAAAGTATAAAATTTAACTTTTTGTAGGGCTTCTGTAGCGTAAAAATACCCGTTGATAAAACGTTTATCATGATTTAAGAAGTTCAATAAAAAAAATAAATAAAAAATGGCTTCAACTGCAAAATTCGGAGTTATTCCAGAACGAATTTTACTCAGATTAGCATTTATTATTGATCGAAATTTGATATTATT